TCAGAATATATATTTTCTTTTAGATGAACTTGCTGTACTAATATAACTAAAAATTTAAAATTAATAAAAATTACACAGACATAAATAATAGAAATGACAAAAACAACAAAATTACTAACAGACAGACAGACAGACCGACCGACAGAGACGGACAGACAGACAGACAGACAGACAGACAGACAGACAGATAGATAGATAGATAGCTGGTCACTAACGCTGCAGAATTAAATGAAGAAAGTGTCTTGTGACATCAACTGCTGAGACTGAATAAAGTTGCATGAAAATAGGTTTGGATTAACTCATATGACGAGAAAAAAGACTGGAGGGAATCACTGTAAATGCACTGATATTTATGGTCAGTGAGTGTTTATACTCCTATCATAGTCTCTGTGCAATACCATAAGCAAAGTAATGGCTCAGATTAGTCCAATAGACCTATAGATACACGTAAATTTTTAACATACATACCAGAAAAAAACTACAAATAAGTGTATCTTTATACCATTATATATTTTATATAAATGATAAAATAGATATTCCACAAAAATGTGAAGCAGCACAACTGTTTTCAACATTGATAATATTAATAAATGTTTCTTGAGCAGCAAATCAGCAAGCAATATTACAATGTTTTCTGAAGTATCATGTGACACTGAAAACTGATGCTGAAAATTCAGCTTTGATCACTGAAATAAATGGCATTTTACAATTTATTCACATAGAAAACTGTTATTTTAAATTGTAATAATATTTCACAATTTTTACTGTATTTCTGATTAAATAAATGCAGTCTTGGCGAGCAGAAGAGACATCCAAAAACTTAAAAACAAATTATATTATATTATATTATATTATATATTAATTTCTGGATGACAGTATCTAGATCTGTAGTCTAATTATCCGTATCAGCCATAAAAAACAATATTGGTGTCAACATGTACAATTATAATAATCATCATCATCATCATCATAATGTTCATAATTATTATTATTATTATTATTTAGGCAAGTTATAATACTATTAATTAGGAATTAGGGTTATTATTACAATGAACTAAAACCTTGAAAACATTCTTGTAACTAGAAATAAAATAAACAAACAGAAAGGAATATATATATATATATATATATATATATATATATATTTCAGAATATATATTTTCTTTTAGATGCACTCAGACAGAGAGACAGACAGATAGATAGACACTGACAGACAGAGAGACAGACAGATAGACAGACAGAGAGACAGAGACAGACAGACAGAGACAGACAGATAGATACATAGACACTGACAGACAGATAGACAGACAGAGACAGACAGATAGACAGACAGAGAGACAGACAGACAGAGACAGACAGATAGATAGATAGATAGATAGACACTGACAGACAGTAAACTGATTATTTATTTACTGTTTGAAAATTCTGTTGTCTAAATATTGGCTGATTTCATTATGACTGTGAGTTAAAAACTGAAATAAAAAACTAATAGATTAATTGGTGGAAAAAAATACTATATATACATATACTTTAATGATCTTTTGTTTATCTAATAGTAAAATAATATAATAAAAATATAAAAAAATAGACAGAGACAGACAGATACAGACAGAGAGACAGACAGAGAGACAGAGAGAGACAGACAGATAGATAGATAGACACTGACAGACAGATAGACAGACAGAGACAGACAGATATAGATAGATAGATAGATAGACACTGACAGACAGAGATAGATGATAGACAGACAGTCAGACAGACAGACAGACAGATATAGATAGATAGACAGACAGACAGACAGTCAGACAGACAGA